TGAGTCTTTACTTAAAGCCACTTGGATTTAGCTGGAAGTGTTTTTGTTTCCTGTGCTGTTCCTCTCTTGAGAGAATGTAGCCGCAACAAAGTAGAATACAAAATCCCTTAAGCTGACTTTTCATTCCTTTAGCTTCCTCTCTCCTTGCCGGGTTAATTGAGAGGCTTTGAGGTCGGCTTTCCAGCAAGTTCATGCAGGACATCAAAGAGAAACAAACTGTTGGACAGAAAAGAGCCGGGGTCAGTACCACAGCTGATTTGGCCAAATGTTAGTGAATGTTAGCGTTGAGGCGTCCGGCCTCCTCACACGTGTCTTCTCTGCACTTGGCACAGCAGCTTCTCCCCCAAAGTTTCAAAGGCATTTCTTAATTAGGGCCAGATGCAGAAAGCGAGACGACAAGTAGCCAGCGCTTCTCCTGCAGTTGCACACCAGCACAGAAACCGACGGTGCTCAGTCCAGTAACGGGGCTTTGGTTGTATCTCTCTCTCTCTCTCTCTCTGTCTGTCTCTCTGTCTCTCTCTCTCTGTTTACAGAGATGCTCCAGAAAAAGACACCTGTGCACAAGCAGAAAATGAAGTGCTACATGCTGCTGCACACACATGCGCCCTGATTTCACCCCGTTCTGATGCTCTGAATAAAAACATCCCAATTTCTCCCAGGGCTTTTTCCTTCCATTAAAGCTGTAGTCCTGGCTTTTAATGTGGGAAAAACAAGCCTGTTAAATATTCATTACTTTGGGATTGAAGCGTTTACAACACACTCAACTTTTCATGCTGTAACATAAGTTACAGAACCTGAGCTCTGGTTTTTCCCCAGTGGAAACTGTGGCTCATATCCAGTCTAGACTTTTTCTTAAGTTGGTCTCGTTATGTGGCAAGCAAACGGGTGTACACACAATGCCTTCATGAACAGTTTTTGATCCCATGAAAACAAAAAGAATTGTGCGATAATGTCGTATCAGTTTCCATCTATTTTTGTTTGTCTTGCATGTCAAGACTCATCTCACAACAAATTGTTTAGTCGGGTGTCGTCTGACCACGGACACACACCTCCCTGCGAAGAGAAACCTGATCTGAGTCATGGACAGTCAGTGGGCCTGCACCTGTAGCTCGTGTCATACCTGGTTCATACTTTAGTAACAGCTGAGCCCCACCTTTATTATCAGTGTCTGATGTGTAAAGCTCGAGCCCCAGATTCACGAGGAGCCCGACCTGCGGGCTCCTCGTGAATCTGTCTGCTGTGTTTAGCATGGAGTGAGATATGGTGAGTTATCATCTTCATCTTTGTTCACAGCAAAAGATTGATGTGCAAACGCTTTGGATTCATCAGGCCACAGAGGCAGAGTAGCTGTTTGATGCGGTCTGTCTCGTGAAACGGAGTGCTTTCTAAATGGAACGATGCCTTCAGGGTACTAGAAGCCAGACTTTAAAACTGAGAGACATGGCTGGTGGTTTTGACAGTATTGCCCATTGCTACTCTGCTGTGCTGATGTTGTCAGTGTGCTTAATGGGTTACACTTTATCCATTAGTTTAATTTAAATAAACATGCACACACAACTAGTTTTCCTGCTCTGTGTGTTTGTACCAAGTTCATTTGTGGTCAACCCTAATGAGGCGTCCTCAGCTGCTCTGTTGTCACCTTCAGCTGCGGAGGGCTGAGCTCTGTGCACGTTGCTGTGTTGGTTAATAAGTGACCACTCATGGGAGGCCTTTCCATTACCCTGTTGTATGCCTCATTTTGCATTTTTCTTTTCAGCCATGAGTTGAAGGTCAACGGGGGCTGAAGAGTGACTGGAGGTTGTTCACCACATTAACTCACCTGGAGGCCCAGTGCGGGGGTCGCTTCTACCCAAACAGCCTAAAGTCCTGTTTCCTCATATAGGGCGCCGATTGCTTGGCTGTCATCTGAGGAAGTAGTCTAATCTTAGCAGGGAAACCTATCCCTCTTGTTCAGAGAGCTTCTGGGTGCAGGCTCGTCGGGGGCTGGTGGATTCAGTCGTGTCTGCTACCTGCAGTGGGGTGAAGTTGGAATGAGAGTTACAGGTGAGCTGAGTGGTTTGAATAGCAACACTCGGTGTCGTTGTGGCGTTGATGAAGGTTAACTTGTAATGTTCATGGTCGCTGGTCTCTGCTGGAGGTGTGACTGTGCAGCAGTACCCTGTGGAAGTAAGTCCTTGCTTTCACAGTTTACCTCATGTTCTCAGGTAGGAAAAGCTGGAAAACATTGTTCTTTAGAATTAATTTGTCAAGTAGATGTTGGATAAAGGGTTCATAATATTATAAGCCCTTTGATATGAGGAACTCATGCATGTGACCTTGAAGGTTTATAAATATTACATGTTTGAGTTATTACAGCTCTGAAAGCTTGTCTTTCTAAAGGTATTTGGTGAAATAGTGACACTACACGGTCATCCTGGTCAACAGAGCAGTAAAATATGAGTAGAAAGTTTCCCACTATGTGTTGATCAGTAACTGATGTTGCTGTGCAGCCAAAAGGAGAGAGAGGCAAAGACAGAAGTGCAGAATAGTCCTTTAAATCCCTGGCACAAGGGGAAGGTTTATTTATGTTTTACTTCTGCAGACTGCTGTCAGCTTTGACGTACAAGTAAATGCATCAGTTTAGTTTTATTTTACACAGTTCATTGATCAGTTATGGTACATTAAATATATTTGGACTCTAGATCAGACAAAGATGTTTTACTGATGTCATCTTGGGCTGTAGGATAGTGTGATGTACATTTTATTTCTGATTTATAGACCTAATGATCAGCTGATTGAGATTATCTGACAGCTCTAGTGCTGCTCACCGTAGCTTCTAATAAGGCTGTAGGCTTCTAGAAAAGAACAGATGTGACACTCGGTGTATTCATTGTACAAAAGCTTGACATTTCAGTCCTGCATCCTTCATCTGTCTGCTTCCTACAAACTTCTTAAATAAGTGCAGCTGTTTTTCTTGGTTATATCTGAGGGTTTCATGCTCCGTCCTTCAGGTTTGTCCTCTGGCGGCCCATGGAACAGGACACTTGGGAGATGTTGGGTCAGTCTGGTGTGGTTCTGTGAATGGAGTTGTGAGAACTGCTTGCTTTGTTTTATCGATTGAACATGATTGTAAAAGTGTCACGGCTGCATTTTGGTCACCAAGAAAGGCCCAGCATGAGATTCTCTGGCCTTGTCTGTGTCATCTGTCCCTCCTCTCTGTCTGCGTTGTCTGTTCCTGTCATCCTTCTGCACACTTCATAATACTGTAACAGGTGGTTCTTCTACTCCGGGTGTGAGACTTTACATACACAGCACTGTTTTTGGATCTTCTTGCTGTGGAGGAATGTTTTGTACTCTTAAGCAGCAGATTTTCCTCCAGGTGACCCAAATGTTTAGAGGCTAACAGTCTTCATCAAAATGAATATTGTAATAATACTGTTGCTATTTGAGATGCTGTAGCCAGTTCTAAATGTGAAGGAGAGCAGCTTGGAGGAGGAGGAGGAGGGACGCTTTGAAATATGGCTGCAGTCTATTTGGGTGTTGGAACACCTCGGTGTGCTCTGTGATGGGTTGGGTCATGTCTCTGCTCTCGTTATCAGACCTATAACAGCGCCTCAGGATGACGAACGGTCAGGATTTAGACACATCGGCCTAACGACATCGCTGCGCTGCTTTTTTTGGCTGTGTTGTAAAGAAGGATTTACGTGTGCTACAGATAAGTGAAGGCTCGTCTGCAAAGTGACTACTGACAGTGCGACCTTTGAGATGTTCCCATATGTATCAGAAGACTGGTATTGTTGTGCCTTTCTGAGACATTGGCTGATGTGACTGGGGATTCGTTTACAGGTAGAGATGCTGCTGTACCATCTCTGCAACCTTCTAATCTCTTGTTGAGTTGGTTTTGTTGTTGTGGACAGTGAAGTACTGTATAATGAACAGAAGTACTTTGTTATATTTGGTAGGTTATGTGAATGAAAGTTGTCAGTTTTTTGACTGTGATGCCCAAACGGGGGTATTTGCAAATGAGAGTTTTACTTTGCTGAAGACCGTAAAGACATGTAAAGGCCACTAGGGGCCCAAGTCTGACTTTGGAGCCACTGATGAAAGAAGCAGAGGATCAAAGCTCAGTAATCATGCTATAAGAAGCAAGTTAAATGTGTGTGTGCGCGCAATCCAGCGCCTACAAAAACTGCCTGGCTGTGAAGCTCTCCAAGTCGATGTCATGTGCATCTTTGCCCCTTCCAGATGCCCTTTTAACCACTCAGCCCTCCCTGTGTTCCATGAAGTTGAATCCCCCCCCCCCCCGGTTGGCCTCTTCTTGTTGAGGGGGGAGGTCTCTTTTGTTCATGCTTATAATGTATCCATTCATAATGACCAGAACCGTGCACACAGGACCCCTATGTTCAGAAATGTTAGACGCAAACACACCTGTAGAAAAGCAAATGTCTTGTCTGCTGAGCAAACCTGATGTTCTGTCAGCAGCTCGGGTAGCTGTGAATGCAACCAAAATCCTCATGTCAGATGCAAAAGCCCTCATGTTAACGAATCTTGATTTTTAAAGGAAAACCGGTTTTATTTTTAGATAATTTCTTTGCGTTTGTTAATACAACAGTGCTTTGTTTTTGTTTAAAGGATTCATTAAGTAGCTTATGAACAAAATGAATTGGTAACTTTTTTTGTTAAAGGAAATTCGCTTGTCCAAGCATCATAAATGTGAGGATTTCTTTGTTTTTTTTCTTTTGCATATACGATATTTTGGGGTTTTTGGCCTGTTAATTAGGTAAAACAAGCCGCTACGAAGACTTCACCTGGGGCTCTGAGAAGCGACTCTTTGTTTTTCCGTTATTTTTCGACTGACATACAGGTAGATAAACATAAGTAGCCTAACTGGCAGATATTTGCAATGGAAAATATCTGCTCCTTTCAGCCCCTGACATATTTGCTAACTACTACTTACCTGTCTGCATGTGACTCCTCGTTACCTTGATGTGTGAGTAAATGTTCTCTGTGTTTCGTCTCAGTTTGCAGGTTGCATGGTAATCTGGGTTTGATGCATGGCAGTTGCATGACCGCAGTAGGTCTCGTGGAACAGAGAGCACACAGCTGCAGCCATGGCTGAAACCATGCACGTGAATGGCAATGCCCCAGGTACAGTAACCCAGCTTTATGTTGCTTTATTTAATCTTGCCTTTTACTATTTATTTTAATGCAGTAGCAATTTATATTTTTAGAGCTGTATAAGAAATGTGCATTGTGTGTTTCTTGTCAACTTGTCTGAATCACCATGACTGTATTGCAGAGGTGACGCCAAGAGGAGTAGGTTTTTTCCATGGTGCACTGTTAGTAACTGTATCCCTTCTTCTTCTCAAATGAACCGTGACTGCCTCATAAACAATATGAGTTTGTCCTGGCTAAATAAAACTTAGCAGGCACACAATGGGGGTAAATGTGGAAAAGGTGTCGGGTTTCAAGCTGATGTCAGACATGTAAATTTAACTGGTCAGCTCCTGCAGCACATCACTTTGTCTTGGCTCTATACATAAACAAAAAGCTCTTAATTCTTCTGGCATAAAATATTTTGATATATGAATTACTCTGTTTTACTTGGTGCACATCAGGGGCCACAGAGCTGGAGTCAAATTTCTTGTATTAACATACTTGGAAGCAAAGTATATGATTGATTTGATGTCTAGGACTAAATGATGTGATTAAAATGATTATTCTAGTATCAATTGCAGTATTTTGTTGATTACATAAAGAAATGCAAATATTCTTGAGAGTTTTTGCTTTGGTTTAAAAACTCACTGAAGGTGAGACAGCTGGTGTTTTACACATGACTCTAGTTGTTTCTTTAGTGTATAACAATGATCATAGTTACATTTATACAGCAGATTTCAATAAAAAGAAAATTATTTAACGCTTATTTTAATCTGTATTTATTAGGGATTTAACAATATTTGTAGTTTCACTATACCACAACAGCAGAATGTCTGGATACCGCTGTGGGACTATGACATTGTCTACCAGGATATTACATATGGTTACTCTGATCGTATAACTACGTTCAGGTCACAGAATTTGAAGCTGACATAGCAGATCCATCATTATCTTTTCGAGTGGTTGTGCATTTCACTTTCCCTGTTTCAAGAAAAGATACGGGCTGATAGGAAAGTGACAAACAGTTTGTAAATACTGCCTGACGAAGGCAATACTAGCCCCATTGAGGACTGAGACAACCCTGGATACATCTGGCAGAAACAGCTGGGACACCACTGTGCGCTTTGGTTTAATGGAAATGGGCAAACAAAACTGACGCACAAATGCAAAACCAACCACTTGTAACAACCTTTAAAGTCTTTTCTCTTGAAAAAGTAGACCGTGATGTTTGAAAAACACCTCCAATCAGAATCAGCTTTATTGGCCAGGTGTGATGGACACACGAGGAATTTGACTCGGGTACATCGGCTCTCAATGTGCAAACAGTAAACCAGCATAAGGCTGTGTAATAGCAGTATTAACATCAACAAGCAGTGCAAACAATGCAGAAAAAGCAGTATAAACAGACAGTAAACAATGCAGACAAACGAAGGAATGTTCATTAAAATGAGATAAATAGGGAGGCAACGGAGTACTTGAGAACTAGAGAGCTTTACAAGTCTGTATAATCTGTACGAGGCATATTTACAGGTATTGCACTGAGGGTTATTGTCCAGTCATACTGTCACTGGTTAAGTGTTGATCAGAGCGATGGCCTGGGGGAAGAAACTGTCCCTGTGCCTGGTTGTCTTGGAGCACAGCGATCTGTAACGCTGTAACGTCCAGAGGGGAGGAGTTCAAACAGATTGTGTCCGGGGTGTGAGGGGTCAGCAGTGATCCTCACTGCCCTCCTTTTGACCCGTGCGGTGTACAGGTCCTCCAGGGAGGGCAGGCTCACACCAATGACCTTTTCTGCAGACCTGACTGTCTGCTGAAGTCTCTACTGCAGAAATGTCTGTACAGACAGTCTGTACAATACAGCACAAATCTCAGCTTTATGGGACTTGAGTGTACTTTAATGTCGTCTTCTTTTGGTGCACCAAGCAGCAGTTGGCTCACTGCTGCCCCCACTGGCCAGGAGGGGATACCCTCTTCAACTGGTTCAGTACTGAGAACCAGACCACCAAACGGAGTTAAACCTGCCTAGGTGGCACTAAAACACTGATGTGTGTGTGACTTCTTGTGTTTACAAAATCTAGCTGCTGCAATAATGTGGTGTTTCCTTTTAATTTCATAAAAGGACTGCTACTGACAGTTTGTTTTTCTTATGCAAGTGTATAAGTAGTTCAGTCATTCGATGCCATTGACAGTTCATACCAGTGTTTCTCACATGCTGAGGTCAATAAAGAAGGTAGAAGGAAAATCATACAAAAAAGCAGATTTATTTAGTAAAGGGCATTTTCTCACCTTGTGCCTTCATTTTTTTTTTTTTAATATCTTGACAAATATTATATTGTGGACTTTTTATAATGGCAGTATCGTACTCTGAGCTTTTGGTATCGTTGCATCCCTAATCTGTGCGTATGTAAACATATTCTTCTGGTGGACATCACACATAGTTGCAGGAATGTTGAACGCTGGCTTGCAGAATCAGTTTTTCTCCAAACTAGGCAGCTCCTCTGAGTTGTTTTTGTACCTCTCATGCTTCTGAGAAACACCGAGGGGGTGTGTTCACACAGATTTCTGCTCTTCAGTGTGAAATGAACGCTGTCAGCTGAGGCGTAGCTCTGAGCACACACCTGCAGACAGCTCACATTCCTGAGCAGACTAACAGGAGACAGTGAAGCTTCTTGCTGCCAAATCCCCCCAGGAATGCACAGCATGCAGGACCTTTGCACACAGTCCTCAGCATCAGTTTTCCACCACCATTTATACAACTTGGAGATTATGCTTGTAGTGTGTAGGTCTTATTGAGGAAAAATGTTCCAGTTCACTTTATAGTCCATTTTTTTTACAGAATGTGAAAAATTCTGAGGAATGCTAGCTAACACTGCCCACCTTTTCCCCCGTTAGCTCTAAAAATAGCGGCACTGCCGTGTTGGCACTTGGCGTGCCAAAGTGTTCACCTGCTGCACCAAGAGAATTTCAAGAAGACTTTTAGTGTCAGGATGTGTCGGAGTGGAACCCAGTGCTAAACTGGATAATTAAATCCTTGATCAGATGGTTTCAGGGCATTGCGGAGAAATGAATGTGACTTTGGTTTCTCTGAGTTTGTGAAGCCAAAACACAGCAGCTGGAAGTTTTTTGTTTTGTTTGCAATGTCTTTTAAAGGACTGACATTTTGGCAAGAGGATTACAGAATATGACCACCTTAAAAGTGACGTGTGTGTGTGTGTGTGTGTGTGTGTGTGTGTGTGTGTGGTTTTTGTTTGCTGCCAGAGCTTAAACAGAAATGGCACTAACACTATCCTCCCTCACACAGTGGAAGTTGGGCTGTCTAAAATAAGAGTCGTGGCTCAGAGCAAACCATGACTGGTCTGGCTTGAATGGCGCCGTTCTGTTGTGGTCAGACTCGGAGTCAGCCAATGAGCTGACCCCCTGCAGCCCATCCAGACCCACTAAAGTGGTTGTGTTTGTAAAGCATACCCCGTGGTACTGTCAGTGCTGTGAGGTTATAGTGCGTGCCAATCTCAGCAGGGTAACTGTTTGTATTATTCACTGACTGCTCTGGTCTCCTACTCTCCTTACACACCGGTGATTGGTGAATTGATGTAGTTGTGGTTTCTTTAAATGTGACTGTACTTCTGTGTGCAGTCATCAGGTCATTGTCTAAATTTGAAATGTGTTTCTGTGCCAGTAGAGCTGAACAGCATGTTGTTTTACAGTTCCATCAGCAAAGTAGACACGTATGGTACAGTAGTAAAACTATAGGAGAAGCAATACAATGAGATGAATTAGGCCCACCAGCAGGCTCTGACTTAAACCACTGTGTTGCTGGATATAGTGTACAAATGGGCATGGTGGGTGGTTGAAAATGGAGAGTATGTTAGGGCTACGTCAGGGGCTGGAAATGTGAATGAGGCCTCTTATGTTGGCTTGTCACAACATGGCCAGAATGTCCCAGTGCAACCCCTTGCCCCTCCAGCAGCACAGCCCTACTGCAATGGGTTGCGCTTCAGTGCACTCCGTCTGACCACCTTCTAATGGATTAGCTCCACGGTATACGTATCTCCAGTCTGCTAAGCCCATACATGAAAAGACGTCAAATAAAAAAACTTTACTTCACACCTTCCAATGAAGAGATGCATCAGCTGCCATGGCTCCTAAACAGTGGAATGAGCTGCACTTCACAATCCATCCAGCTGTTTCTATGTCTTCATCAGCTAAAAACACACTTTTTAAACCTAAGATGATTCTTAAGGATTTTTTTTTCTCGACTATATTGACTACATGTTTCTTCAGTGTGTTGTTGGTGCCGCCTTCCCCTCCAGCTGGTCAGTTTCCTGTTTTGACACCTAATCACACTTGGCTTGATGAGTTGTTTATGTTGAGGCAGCAGCTGCAGTGTTCTCACATTTGGGCCAACATGCATTAAAACCACAGTACAGGCATCAGTGAAGCAGAACACAAACAATCAACAAGCGGTAGCTGGGTGAAACAAACGCGGTGACCACACCTCAGCCCACTGCTGTTTATACAGCCACCTCAAAACGCCTCCAGATGTTATCTGTCTGGGTGTTTCCTATGATTCAAATGCTTTATTTGTTGAATCAGAATATTAATGTTCTGCCTGTTGCAGAGTTGTCATGTCTGCACACCCAGTGTCTTGGACATTAACTGTTTTTCTTGACCATTTATGAGAAAAATTTCTCAAACTGCCTGTATTGTGTGCAGAGGAAGCCCAAACATTTCCTCCAGGCTGCGTCGTCATGTACAGAGTTGTTGAATCTGGCAGCAGCATCTGGCAGGGCCCTGTGAGTTTCTAGAAGTGAATAGATCACAGTCAGCAGCCCTGCTCTGCCTGCGCAGCGTTCGTCACGTTGGAAAAGGGCAGGAATGTGCAGCATTAATCAGCCGATTGGTTTTGTTTTGTTTCCTCTTCTTCGCATTGAGCTGTTGCAGTTTGAGGCACTGATCAAATGTCTGCTGTGCTTTTCTTGTGAGAGACTAGT